AGTCAGCAGGTAAACAAGGCCAGGAGGCACAGTCAGCAGGTAAAGAAGGCCAGGAGACACAGTCAGCAGGTAAACAAGGCCAGGAGACACAGTCAGCAGGTAAACAAGGCCAGGAGACACAGTCAGCAGGTAAACAAGGCCGGGAGACACAGGTCAGCAGGTAAACAAGGCCAGGAGGCACAGTCAGCAGGTAAACAAGGCCAGGAGACACAGTCAGCAGGTAAACAAGGCCGGGAGACACAGTCAGCAGGTAAACAAGGCCAGGAGACACAGTCAGCAGGTAAACAAGGCCAGGAGACACAGTCAGCAGGTAAACAAGGCCAGGAGACACAGTCAGCAGGTAAACAAGGCCAGGAGACACAGGTCAGCAGGTAAACAAGGCCAGGAGACACAGTCAGCAGGTAAACAAGGCCAGGAGACACAGTCAGCAGGTAAACAAGGCCAGGAGACACAGGTCAGCAGGTAAACAAGGCCAGGAGACACAGTCAGCAGGTAAACAAGGCCAGGAGACACAGTCAGCAGGTAAACAAGGCCAGGAGACACAGGTCAGCAGGTAAACAAGGCCAGGAGACACAGTCAGCAGGTAAACAAGGCCAGGAGACACAGTCAGCAGGTAAACAAGGCCAGGAGACACAGGTCAGCAGGTAAACAAGGCCAGGAGACACAGTCAGCAGGTAAACAAGGCCAGGAGACACAGTCAGCAGGTAAACAAGGCCAGGAGACACAGGTCAGCAGGTAAACAAGGCCAGGAGACACAGTCAGCAGGTAAACAAGGCCAGGAGACACAGTCAGCAGGTAAACAAGGCCAGGAGACACAGGTCAGCAGGTAAACAAGGCCAGGAGACACAGTCAGCAGGTAAACAAGGCCAGGAGACACAGTCAGCAGGTAAACAAGGCCAGGAGACACAGTCAGCAGGTAAACAAGGCCAGGAGACACAGTCAGCAGGTAAACAAGGCCAGGAGACACAGTCAGCAGGTAAACAAAGCCAGGAGACACAGTCAGCAGGTAAACAAGGCCAGGAGACACAGTCAGCAGGTAAACAAGGCCAGGAGACACAGTCAGCAGGTAAACAAGGCCAGGAGACACAGTCAGCAGGTAAACAAGGCCAGGAGACACAGTCAGCAGGTAAACAAGGCCAGGAGACACAGTCAGCAGGTAAACAAGGCCAGGAGACACAGTCAGCAGGTAAACAAGGCCAGGAGACACAGTCAGCAGGTAAACAAGGCCGGGAGACACAGTCAGCAGGTAAACAAGGCCAGGAGACACAGTCAGCAGGTAAACAAGGCCAGGAGACACAGTCAGCAGGTAAACAAGGCCAGGAGGCACAGTCAGCAGGTAAACAAGGCCAGGAGGCACAGTCAGCAGGTAAACAAGGGCAGGAGACACAGTCAGCAGGTAAACAAGGCCAGGAGACACAGTCAGCAGGTAAACAAGGCCAGGAGACACAGTCAGCAGGTAAACAAGGCCAGGAGACACAGTCAGCAGGTAAACAAGGCCGGGAGACACAGTCAGCAGGTAAACAAGGCCAGGAGACACAGTCAGCAGGTAAACAAGGCCAGGAGACACAGTCAGCAGGTAAACAAGGCCAGGAGGCACAGTCAGCAGGTAAACAAGGCCAGGAGACACAGTCAGCAGGTAAACAAGGCCAGGAGACACAGTCAGCAGGTAAACAAAGCCAGGAGACACAGTCAGCAGGTAAACAAGGCCAGGAGACACAGTCAGCAGGTAAACAAAGCCAGGAGACACAGTCAGCAGGTAAACAAAGCCAGGAGACACAGTCAGCAGGTAAACAAGGCCAGGAGACACAGTCAGCAGGTAAACAAGGCCAGGAGACACAGGTCAGCAGGTAAACAAGGCCAGGAGACACAGGTCAGCAGGTAAACAAGGCCAGGAGACACAGTCAGCAGGTAAACAAGGCCAGGAGACACAGGTCAGCAGGTAAACAAGGCCAGGAGACACAGTCAGCAGGTAAACAAGGCCAGGGGACACAGTCAGCAGGTAAACAAGGCCAGGAGACACAGTCAGCAGGTAAACAAGGCCAGGAGACACAGGTCAGCAGGTAAACAAGGCCAGGAGACACAGGTCAGCAGGTAAACAAGGCCAGGAGACACAGTCAGCAGGTAAACAAGGCCAGGAGACACAGGTCAGCAGGTAAACAAGGCCAGGAGACACAGGTCAGCAGGTAAACAAGGCCAGGAGACACAGGTCAGCAGGTAAACAAGGCCAGGAGACACAGTCAGCAGGTAAACAAGGCCAGGAGACACAGGTCAGCAGGTAAACAAGGCCAGGGGACACAACATTAACACGAAGCTCTGGAAGTGGTCAAATATTGACCACTTCCCTCAACGTTGTGTTAATGTGTTCATACTTGGTTATTGTGTCCTCTGGCACACTGTTGCAGCTGCATGATCACGGGTGTGGGCAGCTGCATGATCACGGGTGAGGGCAGCTGCATCAACACAGGTCAGGGCAGCTGCATGATCACGGGTGTGGGCAGCTGCATGATCACTGGAGAGGGCAGCTGCATGATCACGGGTGAGGGCAGCTGCATCAACACAGGTCAGGGCAGCTGCATGATTACGGGTGAGGGCAGCTGCATGATCACTGGAGAGGGCAGCTGCATGATCACTGGCGAGGGCAGCTGCATGATCACGGGTGAGGGCAGCTGCATCAATACAGGTCAGGGCAGCTGCATGATCACGGGTGAGGGCAGCTGCATCAACACAGGTCAGGGCAGCTGCATGATCACAGGTGAGGGCAGCAGCACATCAAGGCAGATGAGAGCAGTTGTACATAAAGGCGAGTGAGAGCAGCTGCACATCAAGGCAGATGAGAGCAGCTGCACATCAAGGCAGGTGAGAGCAGCTGCACATCAAGGAAGGTGAGAGCAGCTGCACATCAAGGCAGGTGAGAGCAGCTGCACATCAAGGAAGGTGAGGACAGCTGCACATCAAGGCAGGTGAGAGCAGCTGGACATCAAGGCAGGTGGACAGCTGCACATCAAGGTAGGTGAGAGCAGCTGCACATCAAGGCAGGGGAGCCCAGCTGCACATCAAGGCAGGTGGACAGCTGCACATCAAGGCAGGTGAGAGCAGCTGCACATCAAGGCAGGTGAGCCCAGCTGCACATCAAGGCAGGTGAGAGCAGCTGCACATCAAGGCAGGTGAGGACAGCTGCACATCAAGGCAGGTGAGCCCAGCTGCACATCAAGGCAGGTGAGAGCAGCTGCACATCATGGCGGGTGAGAGCAGCTGCACATCAAGGCAGGTGAGGACAGCTGCACATCAAGGCAGGTGAGAGCAGCTGCACATCAAGGCAGGTGAGGACAGCTGCACATCGAGGCAGGTGAGAGCAGCTGCACATCAAGGCAGGTGAGAGCAGCTGCACATCAAGGCAGGTGAGAGCAGCTGCACATCAAGGCAGGTGAGAGCAGCTGCACATCAAGGCAGGTGAGAGCAGCTGCACATCAAGGCAGGTGAGAGCAGCTGCACATCAAGGCGGGTGAGAACAGCTGCACATCAAGGAGGGTGAGAGCAGCTACACATCAAGGCGGGTGAGAGCAGCTGCACATCAAGGCAGGTGAGAGCAGCTACACATCAAGGCAGGTGAGAGCAGCTGCACATCAAGGCGGGTGAGAGCAGCTGCACATCAAGGAGGGTGAGAGCAGCTACACATCAAGGCAGGTGAGAGCAGCTGCACATCAAGGCGGGTGAGAGCAGCTGCACATCAAGGAGGGTGAGAGCAGCTGCACATCAAGGAGGGTGAGAGCAGCTGCACATCAAGGCGGGTGAGAGCAGCTGCACATCAAGGAGGGTGAGAGCAGCTACACATCAAGGCAGGTGAGAGCAGCTGCACATCAAGGCGGGTGAGAGCAGCTGCACATCAAGGAGGGTGAGAGCAGCTGCACATCAAGGCGGGTGAGAGCAGCTGCACATCAAGGAGGGTGAGAGCAGCTGCACATCAAGGCGGGTGAGAGCAGCTGCACATCAAGGAGGGTGAGAGCAGCTGCACATCAAGGAGGGTGAGAGCAGCTGCACATCAAGGCGGGTGAGAGCAGCTACACATCAAGGCAGGTGAGAGCAGCTGCACATCAAGGCAGGTGAGAGCAGCTGCACATCAAGGCAGGTGAGGACAGCTGCACATCAAGGCAGGTGAGGACAGCTGCACATCAAGGCAGGTGAGGACAGCTGCACATCAAGGCAGGTGAGGACAGCTGCACATCAAGGCAGGTGAGAGCAGCTGCACATCAAGGCAGGTGAGAGCAGCTGCACATCAAGGCAGGTGAGGACAGCTGCACATCAAGGCAGGTGAGGACAGCTGCACATAGAGGCGGGTGAGAGCAGCTGCACATCAAGGCGGGTGAGAGCAGCTGCACATCAAGGCAGGTGAGAGCACCTGCACATCAAGGCGGGTGAGAGCAGCTGCACATCAAGGCGGGTGAGAGCAGCTGCACATCAAGGAGGGTGAGAGCAGCTGCACATCAAGGCAGGTGAGAGCAGCTGCACATCAAGGCGGGTGAGAGCAGCTACACATCAAGGCAGGTGAGAGCAGCTGCACATCAAGGCGGGTGAGAGCAACTGCACATCAAGGCAGGTGAGGACAGCTGCACATCAAGGCGGGTGAGAGCAGCTGCACATCAAGGAGGGTGAGAGCAGCTACACATCAAGGCAGGTGAGAGCAGCTGCACATCAAGGCGGGTGAGAGCAGCTGCACATCAAGGCAGGTGAGAGCAGCTGCACATCAAGGCAGGTGAGAGCAGCTGCACATCAAGGCGGGTGAGAGCAGCTGCACATCAAGGCAGGTGAGAGCAGCTGCACATCAAGGCGGGTGAGAGCAGCTGCACATCAAGGCGGGTGAGAGCAGCTGCACATCAAGGCAGGTGAGAGCAGCTGCACATCAAGGCAGGTGAGAGCACCTGCACATCAAGGCGGGTGAGAGCAGCAGCACATCAAGGCGGGTGAGGACAGCTGCACATCAAGGCAGGTGAGGACAGCTGCACATGAAGGCGGGTGAGAGCGGCTGCACATCAAGTCAGGTGAGAGCAGCTGCACATCAAGGCGGGTGAGAGCAGCTGCACATCAAGGCAGGTGAGGACAGCTGCACATCAAGGCAGGTGAGAGCAGCTGCACATCAAGGCGGGTGAGAGCAGCTGCACATCAAGGCGGGTGAGAGCAGCTGCACATCAAGGAGGGTGAGAGCAGCTACACATCAAGGCAGGTGAGAGCAGCTGCACATCAAGGCGGGTGAGAGCAGCTACATATCAAGGCAGGTGAGAGCAGCTGCACATCAAGGCAGGTGAGAGCAGCTGCACATCAAGTCAGGTGAGAGCAGCTGCACATCAAGGCGGGTGAGAGCAGCTGCACATCAAGGCAGGTGAGGACAGCTGCACATCAAGGCAGGTGAGAGCAGCTGCACATCAAGGCGGGTGAGAGCAGCTGCACATCAAGGCAGGTGAGGACAGCTGCACATCAAGGCAGGTGAGAGCAGCTGCACATCAAGGCAGGTGAGAGCAGCTGCACATCAAGGCAGGTGAGAGCAGCTGCACATCAAGGCAGGTGAGGACAGCTGCACATCAAGGCAGGTGAGAGCAGCTGCACATCAAGGCAGGTGAGAGCAGCTGCACATCAAGGCAGGTGAGAGCAGCTGCACATCAAGGCAGGTGAGGACAGCTGCACATCAAGTCAGGTGAGAGCAGCTGCACATCAAGGCAGGTGAGAGCAGCTACACATCAAGGCAGGTGGACAGCTGCACATCAAGTCAGGTGAGAGCAGCTGCACATCAAGGCAGGTGAGAGCAGCTGCACATCAAGGCAGGTGAGACCAGCTGCACATCAAGGCAGGTGAGAGCAGCTGCACATCAAGGCAGGTGAGGACAGCTGCACATCAAGGCAGGTGAGAGCAGCTGCACATCAAGTCAGGTGAGAGCAGCTGCACATCAAGGCGGGTGAGAGCAGCTGCACATCAAGGCAGGTGAGAGCAGCTGCACATCAAGGCAGGTGAGCCCAGCTGCACATCAAGGCAGGTGAGGACAGCTGCACATCAAGTCAGGTGAGAGCAGCTGCACATCAAGGCAGGTGAGAGCAGCTGCACATCAAGGCAAAGCAGGAGAGAGCAGCTGCACATCAAGGCGGGTGAGAGCAGCTACACATCAAGTCAGGTGAAAGCAGCTGCACATCAAGGCAGGTGAGAGCAGCTGCACATCAAGGCAGGTGAGCCCAGCTGCACATCAAGGCAGGTGAGGACAGCTGCACATCAAGGCAGGTGAGAGCAGCTGCACATCAAGGCAGGTGAGAGCAGCTGCACATCAAGGCAAAGCAGGATAGAGCAGCTGCACATCAAGGCGGGTGAGAGCAGCTGCACATCAAGGCAGGTGAGAGCAGCTGCACATCTAGGCAGGAGAGAGCAGCTGCACATCAAGGCGGGTAAGAGCAGCTGCACATCAAGGCGGGTGAGAGCAGCTGCACATCAAGGCAGGTGAGCCCAGCTGCATATCAAGGCAGGTGAGGAGAGCTGCACATCAAGGAGGGTGAGAGCAGCTGCACATCAAAGTAGGTGAGAGCAATTGCACATCAAGGCAGGTGAGACCAGCTGCACATCAAGGAGGGTGAGAGCAGCTGCACATCAAGGCAGGTGAGAGCAGCTGCACATCAGGACAGGTGAGGACAGCTGCACATCAAGGCAGGAGAGAACAGCTGCACATCAAGGCAGGTGAGAGCAGCTGCACATCAAGGCGGGTGAGAGCAGCTGCACATCAAGGCATGTGAGGAAAGCTGCACATCAATGCAGGTAGGACAGCTGCACATCAAGGCAGGAGAGAGCAGCTTCACATCAAGGCAGGTGAGAGCAGCTGCACATCAAGGCGGGTGAGAGCAGCTGCACATCAAGGCAGGTAGGACAGCTGCACATCAAGGCAGGAGAGAGCAGCTGCACATCAAGGCAGGTGAGAGCAGCTGCACATCAAGGCATGTTAGGACAGCTGCACATCAAGGCAGGTAAGACAGCAGCACATCAAGGAAGGAGAGAACAGCTGCACATCAAGGCAGGTGAGAGCAGCTGCACATCAAGGCAGGAGAGAGCTGCTGCACATCAAGGCAGGTGAGAGCAGCTGCACATCAAGGCGGGTGAGAGCAGCTGCACATCAAGGCAGGTGAGAGCAGCTGCACATCAAGACGGGTGAGAGCAGCTGCACATCAAGGCAAGTGAGAGCAGCTGCACATCAAGTCGGGTGAGAGCAGCTGCACATCAAGGCGGGTAAGAGCAGCTGCACATCAAGGAGGGTGAGAGCAGCTGCACATCAAGGCATGTGAGGACAGCTGCACATCAAGGCAGGTGAGAGCAGCTGCACATCAAGGCAGGAGAGAGCACCTGCACATCAAGGCAGGTGAGAGCAGCTGCACATCAAGGCGGGTGAGAGCAGCTGCACATCAAGGCGGGTGAGAGCAGCTGCACATCAAGGCGGTTGAGAGCAGCTGCACATCAAGGCGGGTGAGAGCAGCTGCACATCAAGGCGGTTGAGAGCAGCTGCACCCTAACACAGCAGACTGAGGCACTGTTGAGGACGACCAATAACACATACAGACAGACACGACCACAAGCAACCACAATAACACACTGACAGACACGACCACAAGCAACCACAATAACACACAGACAGACACGACCACAAGCCACCACAATAACACACAGACAGACACGACCACAAGCCACCACAATAACACACAGACACGACCACAAGCCACCACAATAACACACTGACAGACAGACAAGACCACAAGCCACCACAATAACACACAGACAGACACGACCACAAGCCACCACAATAACACACTGACAGACAGACACGACCACAAGCCAACACAATAACACACAGACAGACACAACCACAAGCCACCACAATAACACACTGACAGACACGACCACAAGCAACCACAATAACACAGACAGACACGGCCACAAGCCACCACAATAACATACAGACAGACACGACCACAAGCAACCACAATAACACACTGACAGACAGACACGACCACAAGCAACCACAATAACACACTGACAGACAGACACGACTACAAGCAACCACAATAACACATACAGACAGACACGACCACAAGCCACCACAATAACACACAGACAGACACGGCCACAAGCCACCACAATAACACACAGACAGACGCGACCACAAGCCACCACAATAACACACAGACAGACACGACCACAAGCCACCACAATAACACACTGACAGACAGACACGACCACAAGCCACCACAGTAACACACAGACAGACACGACCACAAGCAACCACAATAACACAGACAGACACGACCACAAGCCACCACAATAACACAGACAGACACGACCACAAGCAACCACAATAACACACAGACAGACACGACCACAAGCCACCACAATAACACAGACAGACACGACCACAAGCAACCACAATAACACACAGACAGACACGACCACAAGCCACCACAATAACACAGACAGACACGACCACAAGCCACCACAATAACACACAGACAGACACGACCACAAGCCACCACAATAACACAGACAGACACGACCACAAGCAACCACAATAACACACAGAGAGACACGACCACAAGCCACCACAATAACACACAGACAGACACGACCACAAGCCACCACAATAATACACAGACAGACACGACCACAAGCAACCACAATAACACACAGACAGACACGACCACAAGCAACCACAATAACACACTGACAGACAGACACGACCACAAGCCACCACAATAACACACTGACAGACAGACACGACCACAAGCCACCACAATAACACACAGACAGACACGACCACAAGCCACCACAATAACACACAGACAGACACGACCACAAGCCACCACAATAACACACAGACAGACACGACCACAAGCCACCACAATAACACACAGACAGACACGACCACAAGCAACCACAATAACACACAGATAGACACGACCACAAGCCACCACAATAACACACAGACAGACACGACCACAAGCCACTACAATAAAACACAGACAGACACGACCACAAGCAACCACAATAACACACTGACAGACACGACCACAAGCAACCACAATAACACAGACAGACAGACACGACCACAAGCAACCACAATAACACACAGACAGACACGACCACAAGCCACCACAATAACACACAGACAGACACGACCACAAGCAACCACAATACCACACAGACAGACACGACCACAAGCCACCACAATAATACACAGACAGACAAGACCACAAGCAACCACAATACCACACAGACAGACACGACCACAAGCCACCACAATAACACACTGACAGACAGACACGACCACAAGCCACCACAATAACACACTGACAGACAGACACGACCACAAGCCACCACAATAACACAGACAGACACGACCACAAGCCACCACAATAACACACAGACAGACACGACCACAAGCAACTACAATAACACACAGACAGACACGACCACAAGCCACCACAACATTACACAGATAGACACGACCACAAGCAACCACAATAACACACTGACAGACAGACACGACCACAAGCCACCACAATAACACACTGACAGACAGACACGACCACAAGCCACCACAATAACACAGACAGACACGACCACAAGCCACCACAATAACACAGACAGACACGACCACAAGCCACCACAGTAACACACAGACAGATACGACCACAAGCCACCACAATAACACAGACAGACACGACCACAAGCCACCACAATAACACACAGACAGACACGACCACAAGCCACCACAATAACACAGACAGACACGACCACAAGCCACCACAATAACACAGACAGACACGACCACAAGCCACCACAATAACACAGACAGACACGACCACAAGCCACCACAATAACACACAGACAGACACGACCACAAGCAACCACAATAACACACAGACAGACACGACCACAAGCAACACCACAATAACACACAGACACGACAGACAGACACGACCACAAGCCACCACAATAACACACAGACAGACACGACCACAAG